CCCAACAAAGTGACTAAGGTCCTATTTCTGTACCTCAAGTGCGCCCTAAGACAACAGAACCATCATTTTGGGGAGATTAAAGAACATCCAACGAACCCCCAGCTTAGGTAGACCAGAAAACGCCTCTGTTTTACACCCTTTGTCCGCGACTAAGGGTAACTGGCGATCATGTGAACTTCAGAAGCAGCATCACTTTCACAGGCTTATTTGTGAATAGCATGCATTTACAGGCAAAATCTTTTTCCTTAGCTGTAAGAGAATATTTTTATATTCCTGGAAATAGTTGATCAAGGAATTCGCAGGCTTATTTATGAATAGCATGCAATTACAAGGCTAAATCTTTTCTCTAAGCTATAAGAGAATATTTTGATCAAGATATTCTTGGAAAGTAATATTATGAAAAGCATATAATCAATAAATCAACAAGCAATGCCAAAAGATATTAAGTACTATTTTGAGGCATCAAAATTAGTGAACAAACAAAGATGCTATCATGTTCAAGGTTCTACTTCTTGCTAAGATCAATTCCAGCCTTCTTGGCTACAGCATCAAGTCCATTTTTCTCAATGGTTTTTATGGCCTTTGTTGACAACCTCAGTTTCACATAGCGCTTGCCTGCCTCCCACCAAATCCTCTTGTATTGAAGGTTAACGAATTGCAGTTTTTTCGTCTTGTGGTTTGAGTGAGAGACCTTGTTTGCCCTGTTGGACTTCTTCCCAGTGAATGGGCAAATTCTACCTGAAAAACAGAAAAGCTTTCTTAATATTCAAATACTTATAACAAAAGGCACCGACACAAGTGAAAACAGCCTACATACTGTAGGAAAACAGAGGGAAAAACAAAGGATGCTTCAATGGGAATATTTGATTACTCTCGTCCCAAAAAAACATCTTAATTTCACCGATTAGCTCAAAGACCAAGTAGTTCTAGGATAAAAAAAAGCGAATACACAATGCATCCTGACAATGATTTCAGCAATATAAAAGAGGAGTTGAAGTAAGCAAACAACAACATACCCAACTAACCCCAACATAGTGGGGTCTGGGGAGGGTAGTGTGTACGCAGACCTTACCCCTACCCTTACCCCTGCCAAAAGGAAAATGGCAAAGAAAATCCTGCTTATTATCAGGAAAGGCAGAAAAGCAAGAAAATGAAAACTCCCTCGAAGTCCCTCAACATTTGTCGAAATATGAAGCTCCGCCTTTAGGCTGCTTAAAGTTAAGAGACCTAAGAGGCCTCAACTCCAACCAGAAGTATACCGTCTTATCATCAGTATAATATTCTTGTTGTAGCTTAGACACAAGTTCATAACAGAAATGCAAACTTTGTTAACCAAGAAATGCATCCTTTGAGTTTGAAGCATATGGATACTGTCTTTAAGATCACTTGAAAAAAAATTATTATATTGTTTCACATGGACTGGGGGTTTGGAATTAAAGCAAGAGGAAACCTCTTTCAATTCTGCAGTTACCTTAACAATTTATAGTTCCAAGTCTGAAGCAAATAAGTATTTTCCCCGACATCCAAGAAGTTCAATGAAAAGGAGTTAGCCCTATATTTGAAGAAACAATAAATTCTCGATGCCATTTCTACTGTCTGTTCTTTTAACAAGGTCTTCTGCTCAGAAATCATAACTTAATTTATGAAGGGAAAAGGAAAGAGAAGAAAAGCTTCTAGCAGCCATAGAAGTATAATCAGTTCACATGAAAATCTTTTGCAGATTGTCTTCCTGAATGATCTTATATTGATGCATTCCGACTCAAATAGTTGTCGACGTACAAGTGAACATTTTTCTTTTTGTACTAAAGGAAGCTTTCCCAGTTAAATTTTTTATCAGAAGGAAGTTTGCAATTAACTCTTACGTGGGATAGACACTTACAATCATAGGAACTACAAATCTCTGCTCTCGACTGCATGCTGTACCATCAAGTGGTAATGTAATGAATTCATGCAAAAAGATATGCTAAAAGATTCTATAACTTTACTTGGACAATCGGTTATGTTTAAAATTCGTAGTCCCTAAGTTAGAGAAAAAGAACCAAGATAGGAGAGAACCAGAGCTCATTAGTATATGAAGAAAATTTGGACAAACTTCCAAACTAAAATCAGCTTAATCAGTTTAATGTATCATCAGACACTTTCATTCTTAAATTTTGCACGTCGTGAGGTGTCCTATCCCGTACTTTCTCGTTGACCATAGACAAGATTTTTAAACCCAATGGAAATTAGACTAAACACCCCGTTTAAAAACCTCTTCCCTCTTAACGAAAGTACCATATATAAGAAGGTTGTTTAAGATAGTAGAATTATAATAATGAATTTTAGTTAAAGTTTTAAACTACGATAGGATTTAAATGAAGTTGTAAACTTAAAATACTTAAATGTTAAATTAAAGTAGTACAAAAGTCCGTCAAGTTCATACCTAATGGTATTTAAGTAAACAGTAAAAATATAACTAAGTTTTAGCAAAACTT